GTACTGGAGAACAGTAATATTAATGATGATAACATTACTGAAATATTTACTGTGTATCCACTTGGGTTGTTTGCACTTCTCACATAGAAGCTCATTTCATGCTTAAAACATTCCTAGAAGTAAATTTCCATTTTACAGATGAAAATACTGAGACACAGAATGCTTCAGAAACTGCCCAGGATTATATTTCTAGCATGAGACTGTTTAAAATATTTACAATTCAGAATTCCTGACCCAACTCCAGCAATCTAAGTTCTTTCCATAGGGGCCCAAGAATATCTGTCTTTGAAACAATTTTTAACCAGATCGTTACTGATGGTTTAGGTTGGATGGCAACAACTAAATAGTGTAAGAAATTCTGAATGCAAGAATCTGAAACACCCAGGCATGCTTGGTCTTGACTCTCTGACATCATCAGCCATCCTCATCCCTAGTTCCAGGCCATCAGCAAACCTTTATGCAAACCCCAAGCCTCCGGCTGGTCAGGCTGAAACCCAAGCGTGCACATACTCGTACTCTCAGAGGCTGTACCGCCAATAGATTAAGACTTGGCAATTTGAAAATGAATATGATCAGAAGTTAGCCAGTAGCAGAACCAATTACCCATCTACTTTGCCACTGTCCTCTCTGAAGAGCTACTGGCCACATGGGACAATTGTGGGTGATTACTAAAGGCATTTAAGTCCTTGCACAAGTTTCTGTCTCTCATTTTCCTGGTAACTTGAAACAACATGGTGGTGAGGTTCAAGGGCCTCCACGTAAATACAAAAGTTACTATGCTTTGTTGTTTAGGAAAGTAAAATTACCTACAACAAAGACCACAGCTCCTTCCTATTTGTTAAGCACTTTGCAGTATATAAAGCACTTTTTACCTACACACTGTCTCTTCATCTTCACAGTAATTCAGTCATTCATTTTGATTCCCATTTTGTTGGAGAAGAAACTGAGGCTAAGGGTACTTACAATTATTCAAGGTCAAACTAATAGTAAGTTGCCAAATCAAAATGTGCCTCTTTTTTATTTCTTTGTGTGTATATAATGTATGCGTATGATGTGTGTGTACTGTATATGCGGGGGGGGGCACTTGTGTCACAGCATGCCTGTGGAGGTCAGAAGACAACTCAGGTGTCAGTCCTTACTCTGCACCTTGTTTGAGACAGGTTCTCTCTTTTCTTGTTCTCTGCTGTATACTATCCCACTATAGAAGCACTGGGATGACAGATGTATATTACTATGCCCACCCTTACAGGGGTTCTGGGGATTAGAACTTGGATCCTCATACTTGTACAGCAAATGTTTTATCCACTGAGCCATCTCCCTAGCCCCAAATGTGCCTCTTTTTGGAATGTTTTCCCCAGTGCTAGTTACTGAATACATGCACACTTCACCATCCTCTCTTGGTTTGTTTTTTAAGGATTTATTTTATTTTAATTGTGTATATGTGTATGTTTGTGTGTGATGTGTGCACATAAGTACCAGGTACTGGCAGAGACCAGAGGCACCAGATCCCCTGGAACTGGGATTACAGGTGTTTGTGAGCTCACTGAGTTGACTGATGTCGGTGCTAGGAATCGAACTTGGGTCCTCTGGAAGAGCAGTACATGCTCTTAACCACTGAGCCATTTCTCCAGCACCACCATCTTCATTAAAACTGATAAATAGCTAATAGTTATTAATAACTGAAACTATAATGCTACATAGCAGTTGTTAGGAGCTGCCGAGCTTCATCAAATAAGACTTTTTTTCAAACAAAATATCTGGAGACCTTTGACAGAGCTGATAGACTAGTTTCAGTTTTTAAGTGAACCAGGACTACCCATGTTAGTACACACTTCTAGAATCTACTATCGTGCATTCTCTGGTTTCAAGAGTAGCTTTCATTGGAGGAGGCAAGCTTAAAGTTTAGGAAGGGCTGAGCGATCCCTGGCTGACTTTTGACAGACCTTATGACTTTCCTAGCTCTCTTTCCCCATCTATTAGGTGGGCAGACACAGTCCCGCCTCACCCAACCTCCCACAGCGATGGCAAGGATCAATGAGGAAATATTCTTTAAAAAAATTATCTGCAAATCACAGCTAACCACACAGGGACGCTGTTTCTAAACTCCCACAATGATCATTTTCCTGCTTTTAGAACTGACGTCTTCACATTTCAAGAAACCAGAAAAAGGCAGAATGATTCTTTTCAACCAAAAAAAGCATACCAAGTCCTGTCTGTCCTTTTGAGATGGATGCTGATGTCAGCTCAATCAAGAAATTATTAACCTCCATTTGGTTACTTAAAATAAACTAGACTGGCTGATTTAATGTGTTTGAATATTTTCTCCAAGAATTGGGGTATGTCACCAAGAAATCTTTCCCCTGCAGTTACCCACGGCACAGGCAGCTTTCAAAACTATTTAAAATCAATAATAAAAATCATTTCAATGTATATAAACAAGTTAATGAAGTGAAAATAAAGCAAATTTCTTAATGAGAGGCCCTGTTGCCCCCTCTAGGCGCCTGCAGTAAATGCTGGTCTCTGGATCTCTGGATCCCGCCCCCCCCCTTCCTGGAGCCCGCCGCTGCTTATTCTGTTAACGAATGACTTAGGCCAGGGGGGAAATGACATCACCGGGGTGGAAAACCGATCCTGCACTAGGAAACTTTCTACCTGCTTTCCATTTGTCATAATTATTTTGCACAATGCAGCTTGTATTTGCATAATTTTGAGGCGTGTCATTATCTCAATTGAAAATTGTTTTAATATGGCTGAATAGTTCACAATGACATCAGCCAAAGTCCTAATGAAATATACAAGTATAATCATACAGCTAATTACCAGCCGTGTTAGCATTAAAAAACAAATCATGCATAATATTAGACGATGTATATGCAGCTGAGGATTATAAATAGAGCCGTCCTCTTCTCACAAACCCCCTAGAGTTTACTTTTAAATGGCAAGATTAATTTTCTGAGGTATGGCTCCTACAGCTGTGACGAAAAGTGCCGATCATTACAACTCCCCATAAGGAACAATTAAAAAGAGATCGTGTATTTAAAAATATATCTATTCACTGTCAACAGTCCTGACAGATGGAATCTTTCAATGCTTTTATTCTTAAATCAAAATTCACTATTTAATTACATGAACAGAAATTAAACAGGGCCCAGTGGGGTCAACTCTGGGTCTTAAAATAAATTCCAATTTCAATTAAAAAAAAAAAAAAGAGTGACCACAAATAGCCCATAAAACACTGAATAATTTCCTCCTGGGTTTAGTCCGAAGTCTGTTAGGCACCAGCTCTTTTCTGGATATTTAATCCTTCCCTTTTCCAGATCACAGGCCATGTTGAAGTAATAAATTTGAAAAGCAAATAATAAGAAATCAGGAAGGGGGAGGGGAGGAAGACAGCTGTGCAGGAAAGTTGGGTCGGGGGAGGGGGCTGGGCCAGACCTCAGTCAGGGGAAGAGCTCAACCTGTTGGTGGGCTGCGGGGGTCCCACTCGGGGTTCAAACCACACCTTTGTGAGACCGCGGGCGGACGTAGGGACAGGGGAAGGTTTAGCCACCCCCTGCTGTCCGGGGAGGGCTGGGGAGGGGTGTGTGCGGGCAGGAGGCGGAGCTTATTTCCGAAAAGCTGGGCCAAGGTTCTGACCAACTCGCGTAATTAACCCGCGTGGACCACTGATGGGTAATTCGATCTGGGGAGAGGGAGTGAGCTGGCGAGGCCAAAAGTGCAACCAACTCCACCAGCTCCAGGAATGTCTGCCGGGGCCGGCGGCTCGGGGGCCCCCAGGAGTTCGGCACCGAACCGTTCCTTGGACAACAAAACCAGTCCCAGACCTACCTCGAAAGCTCTCTAGCCTGGCACCGAGCCGGCCGCCCTCCATAGCCCCAGCCTGATCCCCCCGCACGCGGCCTCGGGCGACACAAAGCCCGGCCTGGGGGCCGTGCGCCCTCCCTCCCCACCGCGCCCAGGGCGCACAGTCCCCGGAACGCGTCCCGGGGGTGGGGACCGCGCCCCGCTACCCCTGCGGCGGCAGACCCCGGGAGGCGGCGGGCGGCAGGGGGCAGGCGGCTGGTTGGACCTCCGACCCTCCCCGAGAGCCGCGAGCGCCCCCACGGCCGCCTGGAACGGTGCGGGAGGCCGCCTGGAACCGAGCGGGAGGCGGTGGCTCCCGGCTCCGCGCGCCACCCGGCACCGCGCCGCAGAGCTGGCCCCGCCAGCACCCGCACCTAGTCCCGCACCCGCGACACGGCTGGAAGACGTCCACTTTGCGTGGAGTCATTGAAAATTAGAACATCAAATGGCTCGGGGAGGGAGGGGGAGTGGGCGAGATAGTTGTTAATGCTTAACGTGTTTGTGCCGGTTACACGACCGCTTTGAAATCTGCCCGGGCAGATGTGCGAGTTATTTGAATGTATTATCCAGTACCTGTCATTTATCACTTTAGTCAACACGCCTTTGCCAACTCAATCTCTTTTGATCTCATTCTGCCTCCGTTTCGTAATTTCCGCCCTCTTAAACATATCAAATACTTAAAAAAAAAAAAAAAAAAACGCGAACAATATCGAAACCCACCGAAAGAAATTCACCCGGCCCAGGGCCCAGGCATGGAGGCAAAAAAATTTTTTAAAGCAAAAAATACATATATACATATCTATTAAAAGCTTGATAGTCAATATTCAAGGGACCGTAGCAGAACACACAAAACACACCACACACACACACACACACACACACACACACACACACACTAGAACAAAACCCTTCTTGAACAAGTTATTTGATCTTGACTAAAATCAGCAGTTGGATCCTCTTTGTAGAGCTGACAGCCAAACTCTGACAATGGTAAAATACTCCAGCCCCAGTTAGTGGCGCTACCCCTTTAAAAAACGAGTGGATTCAGCTCGCCCGCAGAAGTGAATACTGTATTTTCAACCTAGCCTTATAATACGCATTACTGGAGGGGGGGGGGGATAATAAAGAACGAAGGAAGAGAGAGATAGGTTTACCACCTCGCCATGGTCGCTATTTCTGCCCTGGGGAGTGTCTTCGGGGAGGAAATAAAGTTTGGAGCTGGATAGAAGTTGCCGGCTGGTCCTTTCTTCCCACAACAGCTGGAGCTCCGCTATGCAAATCGGATCCTTTGGCGTACATCTTACAAAGAAAAAGTCGCCAAGGGACAAGATTCTTGGTTTGCCTTCAAGGTGGAATTGAAAAGCCTTGTAGAAAATGTAAGGTCCGTGCAAGCCACACGGTGAGCCGACCCACTGCAGGGGGAGAGAGAGAGGGAAAAAAACCACCAAGTAAATAATGTAGCCATCACACACAAATATCTATTCCCAGACAGTCACATACAGACATCCACACTCTTGACACAGGCGAGCCCACAGATACAACGCTGGGTGAAAAAAAGATTTATAGAACCCACAAATTTTCTCCCTCCCTTAAAAAAGCCCCCCCCCGACCCCCACAGCCACCCTTCCCCAGCTCCCCATCCGAGGCGGTAAAATTACATTATGTAGGTATGATCAGCTCAGGGGATTTTTTTTTCTAAACAATAAAAATGATTTGGGGGGGGGATGCAGAGGGTAAAAGTTTGGTGAAAAGTTTGTGGGGGGGTCTGGGGGTGCAGAGGTATGGGTGAGCTGGGGGGCTGGGGGGTACCGAGGGGCGCCGGGCTCGCAGGAGCGGAGGAGAGCAAAATACCTGGAGTGAGTTGGGCTCCATCTCGACGTTCTGAATTGATTGAACTCAACATTCTCTCCAAACTTGTTGGCTTGAATGGATTGCATCAGGTCCTGGCAGGGGAAAGCATTCTCTGCCCGCCGCCCGCGTGATGTCTCAATATAAAACTCAGCCCTCGCCTCCCCCTCCGCACCAAAATGATTGAAAATATGTCCTAATATTTCTCCGACGACTCAATTTTCAGCTCCTATCAAAACGATGTGGGTTTCCTGCCAAAGATGGGTTGATCAAATTCGAAATCGGGAGAAAGGATGGGTCGGATCTCTGCGGGGAGAGAATGGATCAAGGCAAAACCCAGACAGGAAGATGTTTAAAAAATAAAATCCAGCCTAAAACCGTGTTACGAGGGCATCTTTCTCTTCCGAGTGGGTTCTAACTACGAACAGCGTCAGATGAGATTTTTTGGAGGGGACCAAGGCTCGCGATCTGCGTTGTGCATCTGACAGGACCTGCTTGTATATGTCTAATATAAAGAACATTTCCTGCAGAGATTCCGGGGCGCTGCTCCTGTTTCTAATGCTCCTTAGCAGATTTGCTGTTATTAGACATGTAGATTTGTTTGATAGTTAAATTACGCTTCCTCACTGCCATGTTTTCGAGAACTAATCTGTTAAATTATCTTCTGACGCCTATTTACATGGAAGGGGAAAGTGGGTTATCGATTATATAAACATATAAATATTAATGCATTTGTTAGCTTTGCAAAAAAAAATTCAGCAAAAAAAAGGAAGAACAGAAAGGCAAGTGAGCGGTGCACACACGTCTCGTGATTTTGCAACAATATTGAACGGACAGCGATTGCATTTAGGGAGAGGGACAATGAGCGATGCATGATAAATCAATACATGCGAGCCGCGAGTCTGCTCGGAATATGAATTCGGGCTCCGGGTTCTGCGTGTGCATTCTTTAATTTTGAAGTATATACAGTCGTACGTGTTTATAATGCTGATGGACGCCAAGGGCTCTCTCAGATGATAATGTTGTTTATATAACCCGGCGCTACAGGAATAATATACCGACTCTTACCCCCCCCCAACACCCTCCCCTCAAAAAAGGGAGGGTAGCTTCCTAGATTATAGTTCGAAACTGAAAAAAAAAAATCCATTTGCAAACTAGTTAAATACCAACAGAAATTAAGCTGTTGGAAACGGGGGAGGGGGCACACATCATAAAACAATAAAGGTTTTTAATGTGTGTATTTATTGTTCTCGAGCCCTGGAGCATTGAGAGGTTTGCATGCACGGCTATTATGCAAACACAGAGAAACTTAAGAGCGAACAAGGAACAGGCAGGGACTGCAAAGCCCTGCTAGCTCCGACCCAGCTGCTGGTCCTCCGCCCGGCTCGCTTGCATTTTCGCAGTGTTGATGTAAAATGGTGTACTCGCTTCCCCCACCCCTTCCCGGCTGTCCTCCCACTCCTTCCCGCACCCCCTCCCTCCAGCGATTTTATTATATTGGCACCAATCTTTTCAAAGTGGGTCTGGCAGGCTAAAAAAGTAAACATGTACTATATGGGGAATAAGGTCTGTGTAGCATGACAGTTGAAACTTGATCTGCGATAAAATTACAGGATGTTGAAATTACTAGCAAGCTATTTTTAACGCTTTCGCAACGTTTCACCTCTGCTCGCAGCATCCAGTTGAGACAGGATTACTTTAATGAAAATTATATTCACATGACTGAAGTTAATACACTCGGTAGAGCACAAACACCTTGTCTTTGGTGACTGGAGGTGGAAAGACCCCTCTGTGTGTGTGTGTGTGTGTGTGTGTGTGTGTGTTAAGCTCCCACCCCCCATAACGTCTGCGTCCGCTGCGGTAAGAATTAGGGCACTTAACATTATCTAAACCACATTTTTAATTCAGAACATGGGGAAGCAATAAAAAGGCAAGATCTATCTCATTTCTATACACACAGAGATAAACGAAAGAAAATGGCAGATCTTCCAATTACAATAAGTAATAAAAACCCAGGCCAAAAAGCCCGGATTCTGGAAGCTGTCGAAAAACTATTTTAATAATTTAAAGTAATATCCTAACTGCACCATGGAGGACAGTGTACCCATGTACAGTCTTCCATCTTTTGCATTAGCCAAATTATGACTTGTACATCACTCTTTAATTATCTTCTCTGAAATTTCATCTGATCTTCCTATTTCATAAACATGGGTTACAGAGAGAAATTACAGCTCTCTCACTCTCCTCTTTTTAACTTTATGATGCACACTGCAGACGTTTGATTAGAATAACCCATTTTGTTCATTTTTAACATATGAATGGACTTGACTGAAGGGCATTTTACATATTTTTAAAAATATTCATGAGGTATGCCTCAGGCTCCTATTAGTCTCTGTCCTGTTAGTGTAAATATATACATTCATTTCAAGAAATGGTATATTAAAAAACTTGAGTTGCAGTATTTTGACAAGATCTTTAAGATCAGCCATGAGTCAGTTTCCTGCCTGACCAAGGCGCAGCATTTATGCAGGGAACCTCAACACAGTGCCTGAGGGCATCCCTCAATTGTGTATTAAAGCTTGTTCTTAAAAATAGACAGTTCCTCACAGAATTTGAGCAACTTGGGCTGTCTTTGATGCTGTCTTTAAGTGTCTATAACTGACTTCACCTAATTAGAAACCCTAATTCTGTGTTTGAAGATAGGCACTGTCCTAGACTACACATTGTTTAATTTCTCTGATAGAGTTTGTGAGACCTAGCTCTGAATATTTCAGAATATCTGCACTTTTATTATCAGATCAACGCTAAATCTCAAACGTGGATCTCTCCCCTCTTTCCACATCACCATGAGCCCCACTCTCATGGATATAATAAATCTACTAAGTCAAACCTCTATCCAATACTAAGAAAGGCTTTTAAAATCACAGATCACAATAGTGGAGTGCCCCCCCCCACCAAAAAAATCTGTTTTAGCTCTTTAATGTGATGTTTGATAGACACCTGTAAATTATCTGTGTAGCAACTATCCATACAAAGAAAGTTTCAATTAAGATAAGGAGATTGTATTGAAACAGTTCTTTGAAGTAATGTAGTTAATAGCCTGTTTGATTTCTGCTTGTGAGAGAGTAATAACGTGGATTCAGGCTCCATCAATCACAGAGCAGATGTAAGACTTGAGACACGGGCACCCAGGGGAATAGAGGCTAACTCCTGCAGTGCAGGGTCCCTGGGCTAATGTAAAGTAAATACTCATAAACAGATTGAATGTTGTAAGAAGACAATCCATTCAAGACAGTTATAATCATGAAAGCAACTGCTTTATTTATCTATAAAAAAAACTTGTAGCTGGGAATGACTGTGTATAAGGGAGGAGGAGGGGAAGGAGGTATATGTTTACATGAACCACTATTTCTGGGTCCCTTCTTGTTCTGAGACACAGCAACCTCCACCCACACTTCTATTCCTGCTGTTTTATTAGCTCCCAACCCAACTCTCTTAAGTTATCTATTTAAATGGTTTAAAAAATTTTAAAAATCATTATCTGGGCCTCAGGGGGAGCAGTGTCTGTGAATCCTTCCGTAAAGGATCAGGGGGATTACGTTAGCTGCAAACCCAGCAGTGACATAATTAGGCAGCTTGGACTATAATAAACAGGATCATTAAAAAAAAAAATAATAAGTGCAGTTTGAAGAAAAAAGGCGTCCATTTCGAGAACGCCTGTTTCCCTGCGCACCTCTGGGCCTCCCTCCCCCAATTGTAAAAGGCAAGTGAAACATTTTTGACCTTGGCTGCAATAATACTTCATGTTTTAGGACTTTACTCAGCATTTCATCTACTAATTGCTACACACTACCGCTTGTGGCTCGAATCTGCCACTGCAGCTTTCTTTCACTGGTGAGCGTGTTGCTGGATAAAAACCTGGAGCTCTACCTGGCCGCTTCCTTTCTGGCTTCCCCGCTGCGCCCCCTTCCCCTCCCCCTCTTTTTTTTCTTTTCTTATACAGCTAGACAATACTAATTTTCTAGAAAAATCCCACATGCTTGAAAACAGGGGCAGTAAATGTTCTATCTCCTAAGGTCCTTCCACTGGTCAGGGCAAAGTGTGGTGGGGGGGACCCTGGGAAACTAGTGGGGCTCTGCGGGAACGCGGGTCCAGGTCTGCTGAGGGAACCTGAGGACAGGTGACTCTGAACACCGGGACCTTAGCTAGTCCTGGGCTGGGTTGCAGTCAGAGGGCCTCGCCGCTGCCCACCTGGGAACCCCTAGTTAGGGGCGCTCTCGCCTTTTGCTTAGCCAAGAAGTGGGGATCACGGGGGTCACCCTTGCAGTGTGTGGATGGGCTCGAGACTTTAAAAACCAGCCCTGTGTGCGGGCCAGACGTTGTACTGCCCATCCTCCTGCAAGGCTGGCGCCATGGTGAGCGGTGGGCAGGATGACGACAGTCATCAGGCGGCTTCCAGCAGAGAGGGTTCGCCCGGCTGTGCAAGTCTAGGGTTAGGAGGAGAAACAGGGTTATACGGGTCATTGCTTTCCAGGAGACCTCTAGTGGTCAAAGGTTGAGCTACACCTTAAATTTGGGGTTCCTGGCTGCAGTGGGTCTCCTGGGCTGTGCTGGGGTGGGGATGCTAGCCTAGGACGCGGTGAGAGTAGAGTAGGTTGCTCAGGGATTAGGAATGGGACCAGGAGTGACACGGGAAACTTGGAGAAAGGTACCCTTGAAGAAGGGTCACGTGACGGTCCTTGTGGGCACAGGAAGCCCCAAGGTCCTCTGAAAACTTGCTTTCTTTATCTTGATTTTCTTCTTGGGTCTCCGATTAATCACATAGTCTCAGTGAAGCTGCATGATAATGTGCCCAAGTAATTTCCAGTTACACTATCAATGCCTGGTCTGTTTTTCTAATCTGTTTGTAAATTAAACTTGAGCCCTTATTCACCCCAATCACCCAAACACCCCTTAATTTTAACTATACCCATCACCTTTAAATGCCCCTGACATTTATGACTGACAGCCTACAAATACCAAACTTCTTTTTTAAAAAGTTGCAAGGACCGGGTGTGGGGCTGCCGGGGGTGGGGTACATATATGACTTTTAACTAAATTGAAAACTCCTTTTTTTCTG